CCTCCTTTGCCAGCGATAGTGAAGGTTTCTTTTCTTTTCTTTTTATTTTAAACTAGAGGGATAGTTTAGACTTTTGATTATAAAAATTAATATCAATTAAGAATTAAGGAATTGTAATGTAATTCTAAAGTCAATTAGTGATTGGTTGATATTAATTTACTATTGAAGTCTTTGATTGTTATTTTACCATAAATCAAAGACATCCACTTTCATGACAGACTAATTTCTGGAATTTAATACGTGCTAGACAATACATCTACAGTACAGATACACTATACAAATATCAAAACATGACACACTCTCTCAATATATTAATTATATATCCTAGCAATATAATGTGAATGCATGTTATGTACGAAAGATATGGGTACGGAAAATCTAAAACAGTTTCAAAACGAATCCAGTACAGTGGCGGAGCTAAGGGCAAGGAGTAATCGCGCCAACTTCCATGCATGTGTTCAATAATTTCATTTACTGCAATTTTCTTCTGTGTTCCTTCACCTCTCTTCATAGAATTCAAAATGATCAGTTCTATTTTTCTCACTTGTGTTTTCACCAATTTTTTTTTGAACATGTCCAAATAATTTTAAATAATTTTCAATCATTTTTATGCCACACCAATTCTTTTCTTGTAAAATTATAATAAATTTTATCTTTACTTGTATGTTTATACATCTGTCTTAGTATTTTCATTTTTGTTACTCCTAGCTTTATGTTCTTACTGTCATTTTAAGTCTTATAGCAATGCGATGAATTTTCGATTAAATTTATCAAGGACATTCTCACAAACAAAACCTTTAACATTTTCATTTGAACCACCCAATTTATATTTTATGTGTAATATCTTGTCCCCATCGTTTTATCTAATGACTCCCAAATATTTGACCTCGGTCACTTGTGGTATATATGATTTGATCTTCCAAATTTAACCTCCAAACCACTGCAAACTTGTCAATTTCAAACATACATACAAGTAAATAAATATTAATATAAAAGTAAATGTTCTAATATTAATATCATATAAACATCAATATCAGCATATGTGTGTGTGTAGGTGAGCGTAGCTTTGCCGGTGTCTACTATCCTTTTCATCATGTAAACGACACATTCTTAAAGTTAACTTGCTACCATGCCGTGGTACAGATTAGATTTACTTTACTTCATGCAGAACCATGCAAAAGAAAAAATATTGTAGTCAAATAAGATTATTTATGCTATATTTGAATATATATGGATTTGAATCTAGGTTTGAGCTATATCCATTATTTGGATAATTAAAATTATATAAATTTGGATTTGATCTAAATCCAAATTCAAGTTTCACTTCAATTTCTTAATAATTTAAAATCCTTTTTAAATCTATATTATTTCAAATTCTCCTTCAATCTCTTTTGTAATTTGATCCAAATCACGAAGGCTTAATTAGCTTGTCATTGGTAATTGGACTGGACAATCAAAATTGATGGAAACAAGTTGCCACCGTTGACTTGGACTAGAAGGCCAACTTCCACTAGAAATGGACTGACACCAATGATTGGGATTGGATTGGACCTATGACAACGACAACGTGGGGATCGAATGATCGATTTCCACCAGGACCAAACCGATGGCTACGATCAGGACTGAACGGCTGACTTTTACCAGGATTGAATCGATGGCAACAGTGATGATAGGGATCAGATAGCCAACTTCCACTTGAACTAGACCGACAATGATGACCTGGACGGGATTAGACCAATGGTGATGGTAACGATGAGGATCAAACAGCTGATTTCTACTAGGATCGAATGGCCTACTTTCACTAAGGCCAAACCTATGACAACGATAAGGATTGGACAACAAACTTTCATCAAGACTGGACCAACGATGATGACTGAGATTGAATGATCGACTTCTACTGGGACTTGATCGACGACGATCGAGATCGGAAGGCTAGCTTCCATAAGGACTAAACCTGCGGTGATGACCAGGACCAGACAATCAATTTTTGCCAGGACCTAATCAATTGTGATAACTAGGACCAAAAAACTAACTTCCATTGAGATTGGATCGACATTAACTACTAGGATGGGATTAGACAGATGGTAAGGAAGGGGACTAGACATCCAAATTTTACTTGGATTGAACCAACAAAGACAACCAAGACTAGATTAAATCGACGGCAACGATGAGGATCAAACGACTGACTTCTATTAGGACTTGACTTACAATGGCAACAGGGACTAGACGATCGACTTCCACCAAAAATGGGGTAACGACAACGATCAAGACCAAAGGGCCAATTTCTATAGGGACCGAACGGACAGCGACAATCGTCCAATCCTCATCGGTGTAGTGGAACTAATCCTAATGAAAGTTGGCTGTTTGGTCCTTGTCATTGCCATAGGTTCAGTCCTAGTGGAAGTTAGCCATCCTGTCCTGGTCCTTGCCATCGATCTAGTCTTAGTAGAAGTTTGTTGTCCAGTCCCTATTGTCGTATCAATCTAGTCCTAGTGAAAGTCGGCCATCTTGTTCTAGTTGTTGCCAGTGCTATAGTGCTAGTCGGCTTTGACTGTCTGATTTCGGTGGCAGTTGGCCAGTCGTTCAAGTTTCTTTTAAATTTAAATATGAAATTTATAATTTAAAATTTTACTTTAGATCCAAACAAAATATTTTAATATTATAATTTAAAATTTTTTATATCATCCAAACAAAGAATTTAGAATCTATGAATTTCAAATGTAAGATTTTAAATATAAATTTCTAACTTAAATCCACCCATCTAAATGCAATCTTAGTGAATTTCTCACTAAAAACAAGAAAGGTGGATTGACGTACAGAGCAATTATCTTCAGTGGAAGAAACAAACACAATATAAAAGAAATGAAGAAGTGTATAAAGGATAAAGGGAACATAAAATAGAGAATTTGTCATACAACTATCTTTACTTTGTGAGTAGTTCGCTTGGTTTACGCGTTTATTTCCTTTGTGTAATAGTGCTATGCTCATTTTCAGCCATTCGACTTGGTTGTAGACCGATTTCATAAAGTGCCTTTGCTGTTATTCAGTGTCATTGGAATATGTAGATGTTTTGAATACTTTTCTGGTGCAATTTTCACAATAGTCCAAAATCTTAATTCTCTGAGATTGAAGAAAACTTGTCTTGTAAGATTCATGTCAGCTATTCTCTGTTCACTTGAAATGCATACCATAATGGGTACCCGATTCTCCTTTAGTATTAAAAGCTTTTGACAAAGTGATTATGAGAATTTTGGCACCAACACGGCTCATGAACTAGGATGATCACCCACACTAAATGCCCCTATGTTGGTGCTTAAAAAACCCCCAATAATCTGCCAAAAGTATTGGGAGAAAGAAAGTTATAACCTGCCAAAAGTATTGGGAGAAAGAAAGTTATAACCTGCCAAAAGTATTGGGAGAAAGAAAGTTGAGTCCCAAAACTTAAAATAATTATAGTTAGGTCATCGGCAAAATTTTACAAAAATAAATTATAAATATTGATTCAAAATAATGTAAATTCAGTAGTTTTAATTATGGATAAGACATTTAAGTTTTAAATTAACTCCCTCTAATTCCTAATATAAAACACCTTGTAGAAGTTTTGCTTAGTCCTTAATATAATAAACTTTATAAAATTTGATAAAATATAGTGAGTTATTTTCAAAAATGCCTACATATCCAATCAGTTCATTTGAATGGAATGTTTGGCTTAAAGATTTAAAAGTAAAGTTAATAATTTTAATTAAGGGTGATTTGAAATTTTTATAGAAATTTTTGAAAAAACCCACACTCTTAACCAATTTTAACCACGTTTCTTAATCCGTATGACTTAATTAAAAGTGTCTTATAATAAGACAAGAGGGAGTAATTCTCAAATTATATTAGTAATTCATATTTATAACCATTTAAATCAATATTTGTAACTTATTTTTTTAAAGAATATTTTGCCAAAGGCCTAATTGTCATTCTCCCAAAAGTATTTCATAATTCAAGCACGTGATGAATGGCAACAAAAACTCTTTGCCAACAAAGGCTAATGTAGTTTCCAAAGATCCGAGTCTAAAAAGGTTTGGATTTGAATTTTTCTGCCATTGTGAGAAGCTCATTTTTGGGTAATTTGCAAATATCATTCTGAGCTGAGGGATGTTTGGAACTCAGCTCACTTAGTGCATGCTTGGAATAATATTGGCAGGAGGCTAGGAGCCAAAACTTGCTTTTGGCAGAAGCAGCGTTTGCTTCTTCTTCTTCTTTTTCTGGTTTAATTACCAAAACGTGTTTTTGACCCCTCCTCATCAGATTCCAAACACACGAAACATTTTTTTGCTAGAAAACAGAAAGAACCGTTCCTCATTACACTTTTTCTCCTCCTTAAAGTTTTCAACTTTATCTTGTCTAAAAGTTGCGTTTTCTTAATTCTAAATTACGCACCCTTTTTTTGTAAAGTCGAAAAGCGAGTTCTAATTAATTACCCCAATTTATTCTGTGTATATGTTTGATGTGGACTAGCGCTGGTCCTCCCATTTCACAGCCATCTTCTCGACCACCATTGGTTGAAGGAATGAGTGGTAGAGAAAAAATATACAAGAAACAGATGGACCAAAATTATTAGTAATATATGAATGGCAGAATCATTTATCATGACAAAACCCTTCGCTTAACAAATATGCCATAAACTGACCAATCTTGTTGATTGCCAAAACAATGAAGTTGATTGGCATATTGGTAATTAATACTGAAAATGCCAAATTTCTGCACTACTTAAGGTGGTGATTTATACATATACGTGGTATTGGTAGTTTCTAATTGGAAACCAAACATGCACTCAATCTTCAAATTTAACAGTAACTGCACTGCACAATAGTTAGTGGCACTGACCTGAATTTGTGTTAACACCAAAAAAACGTTTTGACCTGCTAGTCATATGGAACTTCCTACTATTCCAAATTGCGGTACAAGCAAACCCATGTTGCTCTGATACATAATCTAGTACCGACAAAATAACGTGTTTGGAAATTAACATGATTGATGCAGGAAGACAATACAAAGAAAACGGATGGTCAAGAAGGAAAATAAAGTTAAGGGGAAAAAAAAAAAGGAGAATGAAGTTGCAGTTGGATGATTGAGAAGGGAAAACATTAAAGGCTCTTGGGACATACTCAAGACCCCTTGCAATGTCACATGGTCCACTTCAGAAGCCATAGCTATCTTCTTTTCTTTTTTACAGCACTTTCAAGTTTCATCCACTAATTGTCTTCTCTCTCTCTCTCTCTCACACACACACACACATTTGGATTCTGCAAGTAAAGCAAACAGCTTTTATATGTGCGACATAGTTTAAACACTCTTCACCAGAAGACCAACATTTGAAACCATAGTCTCTGTTCTGTTTTCGCCCAAGTTGTTTTTACCATAGGAGAGATGGGCAATGAGGAAACTCCAGTAGTCCCTTCAACAACAGCAACTCAAAGGACTTCTGGTGCTTCACTTTTTGGAGGGAATGGAATAGGCAAGAAATCACTTCTCAAGAGCAAGTGTTTCAGTCCTGAAGAATGGACCTTAGAAGATGGAGGCTTACTCAAAGTCTCTTGCTCATTGCCTCCCTCTCCTGTCCCTCTTGGAAGAAAGGTACATAAAAAATAAAGAGATAGATAATAAAAATTGCACCTTATTCTTATTCAAAACTCATTTTTTTTCCTGGAAAAATAAAGAAGTTTTTTTTTTAGCATGGAAAAATTGGAAACTAACGCTGACCCATTCTTCCTTGCTGTGATAATATTTAACGGTTTGGCCTTAAAACAGGTAGGAGCTGAGTTTGTAGGTACCTTAATTCTCATGTTTGCTGGTATGTCCACTGCTATTGTGAACCAACGGACACCAGGTTCTGAGACTCTAATTGGATGTGCTGCCTCTACTGGTCTTGCTGCCATGGTTGTCATCCTCGCCACCGGTCACATCTCTGGTGCTCATCTCAACCCTGCAGTCACTATTTCCTTTGCTGCTTTAAAGCACTTCCCATGGAAACATGTAAAACCTTTTATCTTTCCCCCACTTCTCTATTTTAACCTTATATCCTCTTTTGTTTAAGCTGCCTAGTGATTACCAATGTTAATTTTATATTGTAGGTGCCATTGTATATTGGTGCACAGCTTACAGCGTCCATCTGTGCAGCATTTGCATTGAAGGGGATATTTCACCCCTTCATGAGTGGAGGAGTCACAGTTCCTTCAGGCGGATATGCTCAAGCTTTTGCTTTAGAGTTTATTATCAGCTTTATTCTCATGTTTGTTGTCACAGCAGTGGCCACTGACACAAGAGCTGTGAGTATTGTTTTATTCAAGAACTCTAGTTTACTAAATTATGACTTGAAAATCTGGAAAAAATGGATATTATGATTGAGAAAGGCTGTTTTCAAGAAATAGAGAATGGAGAGAAAAAAATTAAAGAAATATTTAACTAAGTTTTGGGATGTTCCCACTTTAAACTACAAAAACAACTTCTTTTTTGTTGCCTCCCCACCTAGAGATTCAAGGATCATGGATGTCCCAAAATCGTTTTTGAAAAGTTCAAGCTATAATAGTTTAGAGTAATTGATCCTGTCACTATGAAATCAAATCCTTAGCTGACCTTATTCTGGTGTTGTTGAATCCTCATTTTAATCACTATATTAAATTATTTAAATTTTTATATGAGATCAATATCATCTCTTTGAGCTTTTTTCCCCTTCCCTGCACCAAGAGTATCTTTCTTTCAGTGAAATCGAACAGACTCATATTCATGAGAAAAAGATACCTTCTATTTTCTCAACAACATAAATATAAGACTAGCAGAAGCAACTGTTTTTTTCTCGTCATTACTCAAAGGAGTCAACCTAGCTAGGGGAGGAGGGTTGCTGGGCTGGTGCCACTTGGGAAAGAAACAAGCGATTGATGACAAAGAACAGAATCAGTCAACAGTATTTGACTCTAGTAATTCTACAAGAAATACCAGTCAAGATGAATGCAAGTTGTTGTAAAAATGTAATCCGATGTCTGGACTTCAAACAGACATAACAGGAATCTTCCAAGTTGCACCAAACAACTTGATCTAAACGGTTGAGAGCAAGCATCCCTATCTAATATAAAACAAAGCTAGATATATCATATCACAATAAGTATAATAATATGGTTGATGCTGCATTTTTTGCAGGTGGGGGAACTTGCCGGAATTGCAGTTGGAGCAACTGTCATGCTCAACATACTTATAGCCGGGTCTGTCCTATCTAGCTACTCAAATCTAAGGACAGTTATTGATTTGTTATGCAGGAACAACATCTTTTCGCTAATGAATTGAAATTGGTTCGTCCTACATCGCTAATAGTGTTCAAGTAACAAGAAAATTCCAACCATATATTACTTTGCATGCTAACTTCAATCTTTTAAATATTATAAAGATTTCTCCTTTCCCCGTTAAAAACCAACTTAGATTTCCTTTCAATTGGTTTGCATGATGATAGGGTATTTAATACTTGTTTTTTTTTCCTGTAACTCAGGATGCCAAGAATAACAACCCTTGCCTATTAAGTAAGGCCGATTACATAAATCATACAATGCCATTATGTTCTATCATTCACTATAGATTACAATATTGCTTTTGATATCCGTAAAGCATGATGCTCCAAAAAATATTGTTTGCGTTTGGGAAATGTTAAATATTAGCATAGACAAAGCACAATACATTAAAATGCATACACTGATAGAACCCTCTATTCTAATAAAACAAGCAAAAACCAGAAAATGCATTAAAAATGGACTGAAAATACTATTGCTGAATAATAAAAAGGATTACAAGGAAGATAATGATTCAAGCTAACTCCAACTCCCTCATACACCCATACGCTAAACTGAATAAAGTTACAGAGTACAAGGATCAGTACAAAATACACACACCACAGAAAAATAACCTAGAACATAAGCCACTCACCAACACACACTAAAACATAAAGAGAAAATGATGAAGCAAGACAATCTTCCTCCACCCCAATACACTAGACTTTTCAGAGGCTAGTACTCTCCCAAACTCACTTCACTTTCCAAAACATTTAACTCCCTCTCTCGCCAGAATTGGAGAACTTAAAACCCAAAAAAGTTACAAAATCACTGCCCTTACCCTTAGCTTCCCCTACTCCCTACTCCTAATGTCACTTCTTTTCCCTTTTGGCCAGGACCCATAGTGTAATCTTTTGACCCAGCAGTTTTTGTTTTGCCCCCTTCTATCAGTTTCTTTGTAATTTGCTCCTGTAGGTCTCAGCAACTCAGCAGCTCCATCAGAGACACTTCAGAACCTATCATTGTGCAGCATACCATGCACATACCAATATCCATACTTCACAGCGCATGAGATAGATTTCAACAAACGACCACACAATAAAAAGTTAAAAACTAACTGGACATGTTTCGTAATATGACATACAGAGTCTTGGGTTAAACACATTGGTCATGGTTTATGGATAGTGAAATTTCCTATTGATTCTATACAATATATATTGATTAATGATTCAAGCATTTGCTAAATCATGTATCACAGGCCATCAACAGGAGGATCAATGAACCCAGTGAGAACACTTGGTCCAGCTATTGCTGCAAGAAACTACAAAGACATATGGGTCTACCTCTTTGCTCCTATACTCGGAGCTCTTGGTGGGGCAGGAATCTACACTGCAGTCAAGCTTCCAGAAGATAGTGAACAAGGAGAGGCTTCAATGCCCTGAAGCTTCAAAAAGTGAATCATCCACATGGTCATGAGACTGCATTTCATGCACTTATTAGGCACTCAGCCGAAAGATGTTTGTGGTTCATAATATAAAAGTTGTGTAAAGCAACCAAAAAATAAATACTTCTCAGTACATCCAATTATTAGCTATGCAATATATATCTAAGTCAATATGCATCAGTTGGTATAACATGCATGCAAAGTGCATTGCACATTTGACATATCCCACAGAATTAAATCATCAGCAAATTACCATAAAGAAAACATAAACACAGCTTTTATCCACAGAAATTAACATAAGCAGAAACCTTAAATTGAAAGAGCCTGCAACTCTCTCCAACCACATGCGCCAAATGAAATATGGCAATTTTCACAACAATGGTAAGATAGATGTAAGTCATCTCTATCCAAGAAAACACATTGAGCGGAACAAAATTAAGTAACAACTTAGTAATACACATGGATTATGACATGTTATCAAATATACTGAAAAATCTTTCAGAACAACCAAATTCTATAAAATACCTAGCCTTTCTGGTATCACAGATGTTAGAAGAAAATGTCAGTATCTGCACACTTTGTATACAATATTTATGTTTGTACCAATGCAATATAGCTAACAAGGTGATGAGCTTATGCAATGTAAAATATAAGGTAACTTTGAAGCTTGTGTCAAATCTGGCTACAAAATCAGCAGGTCACAGGTATGGCAGGGAACTGGTATGCAGCAGATAACACCATAGTCACCCTCACTGTGGAATTAGATATTCATGCGATGGTATTCACAAGATCATACTTTTTCCTGCAGTGCTTTCTGGCAAATAATATGGTTGTTACTTCTCCAACCCATTTGCTTCAACAAGATCTTTAAGAGACCAAGCACCTCCAGTGCAATTAGGCCTTGGAAATGAGATAGAACTTAGAGAGTACAGAAGTACGTGTGAAGTGTTTTTTTTTTCCTGCAAAGTTCTGCATCTTCATCAATCATCACAAATAGAGTTCCTTTCTGTGAAACTCTAAGCTGATTTTGGAGTTATCAAGAACGCTTCATCCCTTGGGTTATTAACTGCAGTATTATTTATTCATAGTCTAAATATGGTTCTCATTTCAACATTTCAACTTTGTTTCTATTATAAATGTCAACAGAGCTTCCAAATGCTAGAGTTGCAACTATCTTATAGTTAGTGAAGTTCTACAACAGCAGATACAATAAAACTGCTATTAAAGATGTGCCTTTTTATCTGCTTGTGACAACATTTGAAATTGAAAAGAGGTTTAATACTCAACGATCTCATTCTACTCTCATTCTCAGCCCAAGAATAAAAATTTGCAAGGGTTTGATCTTTAATTTGTCATGGAAAAGGAAACTCTAAGAAACATAGGCAACCATTATTCCTGAAACTAATTATATTGGAAGCATTTGTATATGACTTTAGAGAGCCTTGCCTTAAACAAGCAACTAGAGAACTTGGGATTTTTTACGTTTGGACCCAGTTCAGCAGAGAGAAAAAACCTTAGAATAGCCATTCAAAGAAGGGCATCCATATACTACCATTCAATTTGAGGACAAGTGAGATATTACTCTCATAAGAAAGTCCAAAGTATTGACTTTGGCTAAGTATATAAACAATTCAAGACCACAGTGAACAGAGGCAGAGGCAGTGATGTCAAGGAAATTTAATAACTTCTCATTCTAGCATTCAGATATATGTCCATCTGTAGGATGAACTTTATAACCCAGCCTAGTTCATCCACAAGAAAATAGTACCTTAACTGCATTCAGATAAAATTCAGAGTGAATATAGGATTGACAACAGAGAGTAGCATCAATCAGGAAATTATTAAACAAGCAGAAATCTACAACTGAAGATATCCAGTTAAGGTTCCAGCATATTGAGTGGAGTTGATTTCCTTTTTCATACCATATCTTTAGTTTAGAACTATATAAATAAACTCATTCTAATTGAATTTTAAACTTCACCGTTCACTTTAAAAATAGTTCATCTTCTGCCAATACAGAGTTGCTATAGTTTTACTTAGGAGTTAAATCAGAAAACATGATTAGATCACCATGCCATACTCTCCAACCAGGTGAACTCAGAAAAAGATAACAAAAAAAAAATATATATATCAAAGCCAACTATGTTTCATAGTTCAATGTCCCAACAGCAAAAAACATATTTAACTCCACTTACTTCACATATCATAAGTTCTACAGAAGAGAAGCAGGACAACATAATTGTCATGGCATACAAGGCATGAGAAAATTTGACAACTTACTCATGCAGGAAAAAATTACACGATATGGATCAAAAGAGGAGGACATAGTATTTTAAGTTTTTACATTCATAATCCAATAAGAATCATCCGGATGTTTGGAAATGAAAATTTGGAAAGAAAGAACATCAAGACAAAAATGCTGACCTTGAAAATGCTTAACTTGGTGTTAAATGTGTGTGTCTCCAATTTACCACAAGTTTGTCGGAATGCCTACAAATGCAGAATTGAAGAACAATAGTCTGCCTTTACACTCTCTAGTCTCTATTCTTCTCTAAATCCATCAGCAACTAAAACACCTATTTTTTCTTCAACATTCAAATAAAACCACCTCCCAAAATGCAACAAAAAGAATGTGAACACTTTCTCGCATCAAAAATTCGGATCGGCTCCATCAAACCAGCGATATCCCTCGAACCTGACTCCTCTCTGCGTCGGGTCGTGTCGAGCATCTGAACACAGAAAGAACGAAGGAAGCAAGCAACACCCCAACTACGTCGGCAACCGCATCCCTAGAGGAAGCTCCGGCAGAGCGAAAATAGCCAAGCTGATCGGCGGCCTCTTTGGCGGCGCCTGCGAGGAGCGAAGCGATTGATCCGATCAAAACAGCGTGACGGCGGAGGAAGGGATGTCTGGTGAGGGTAGCGAGGGTGGAGAAAGCAATGGTGAGAATGAAGCAGAAGAGGACGTGGTAGCCCTTATCTGAGGCCAACCACGGGTCTTTCTCCTCCATTCAGGTGCCGCGGAAGCATCTGCTTCTTCTTCTTCTCCTTCAAGCCAGATACGAAATCGGAACACGCTGTTATTCAATTCCAATCGTCAATCCAAAACAATAATAATGTAATCAATGCAAGAAGAAGTTCATAAACATGAATTAAGAGCATGTTTGTAATGTTTGCGACTTCTATAGTTCTATTACTTACGAAAGGAATTTCGAAATCGCTTTTATGAAATGCAGGAACTTGATGCTGTTCTGAAAGTCAAATTTTTTTTTTTTTAATAGAAGACCGCAGAAAAATCATGCCATATGACATGACGTCTCACGTCAATATACAAAATTTTTTTACAATCAAGAGGCTGTGTATGAAAAATGTGAATGCTTAGATTGTTAATAAGAGCTTGATAAGTCAATTAATTCATGATTTATTTGTTTCTTTAAAAATATGATTAAAAGTGATTGTTCAATCTCTCATAATAAGATCTCTAATTTTGTTAGATAGTTGTAGTTAAAAGTGATTTGCAAAAAATTCATTGCGTATTAATGTGAGAGCTTTTGTAGAGTTAAAATAGACATTAATTTTATCAATTTTTTTAACTCAACAAATGTTAAGTCCTTTCAAGATACTCATAAGCTCTCCTATTGTACTTGGGTGATATTTGAAGAAGCCTTTAATCCAATTACTTTTTTTCATCTCAGATGAGCCCGCTACAAGAAGTTGCACCTTGATTATTGGCGAAGCCATCTATATCAAGTATGACCCATCCGTCTTCAGGAGAGGATGAGGACCAGTTAGCTTTAGATTTATCGCCTTGTTTAGTTAAGAAGTTGATTTTTGATTGAATGCATTGATCACTGAGAATATCTTAAATACTAATGAAAGTAATGTCTTTGTTAGGAGTATCTTCCTCAGAGTATATTGTTTTACATCTTTCTTTTCAAATGTTCCAGCACACGTGGGAGAAAAGTCTTTGCCAGGAGGTCTTTCTTACACAAGCGCTGCCCATATCATTTTTTGCATTTTAAAGTATCCATTCCTGTAAAATGAGAGAAAAAAAGTATTTGAGTTAGATTATTTAACTAATTTTATCCAAACCCCTCTAGATTCTTGCAATCTCTCAAGATATGAGCAGTTGAATCCAAGGTGTTATAGCCAAAAGGGCATGTCCTAAGACAGGGATTGCCACCATTGAACTAGATGAATTTAGGTTGAAGACAAACTCAAGCTACTTTCTAAAGAAATGACTCAATCTTTTCATATGTTGACCATTTCCAAATCTTAGACCAAATTTTAGATCTGGGGGGTGTCGCAATGATTATCAATAGTCTTGTAAGCAGATTTGGTGATGAAGTTGCCGTCATTGAAAGGCCTCCAATAGATGACATCATCATCAACATTAGGTTTAGGAGGTTGAACAATAGTGATTTGTTTGATGATGTCCTGTTGAAGATATTTGTGTAATTGTCCTACCAGTTACTTGTAGCAGTATAAAAATCAGACGCTTTTTCATGAAGAATAGATTCAACATTAAAGGATGCGTACTTAATTAGGGGTTGAGGAAGGGGACACCATTTGTCATACCAGAAGGATATTTGATTCCCTTCCCTACCTTCTAACACACATGAGTTATAAATTGCTCCCAAACTTTACATATACTATACCGTGTATAAGAATAAGAGTTGGTTTTACAGACCATGGGAATGGTAGGGTTATTGCATTTATATTTGTCATGAATGACATGAACCTAGAGGCTATTAGGTTTCATTACAATTCCCCAACAAAGCTTCATAATATAAGCCTTGTTTTGACTTTTAAGATTTTTAAAGCCAAGACCTCCATGATTATTATCCCTAGTGATATAGTCTAAATATAAGAGATTAGACTTTTTGGTTTCGTTAGTTGAATCTTGAAGGAAATTACAGGAGTAAGTTTCCACTTTAGTTAGAACATTATCAGGTAGGAGTATAGTTTGCATAGCATAGCTAGGAATAGAAGAAAGGACAGACTTGATAAGAATAGCCTTCCTAGCAGTGTTAAGAAAATGACTCTTTCTATTGGAAAGACAAGAGTTAATTTTATGAAGCAGAGGAGTAAAGGTGAGTTTAAAAACTACAAAAAGCAAACACACTATAATCTGCCGTTAATAAGTATAAATTCACACTTTCACTATAAAGATTAAACGATCGACCACTTAGAAAGTAACAAAAAACTTCTTATGTATCAACTTGATTATACTATTTTTGAATCATCCATGATTCATCTACTATCTACTATAAAAATTAAAAAGATATAAAGCTCAATCATGCAAAATTTAAAATGTATTTTTTTTTGGATTAGGTGCAAGTATTTTTTTTCAAGGAACTGTTAGTATACTTAACTCAAATAGGTGTAATTTTATTCATCAATCTTGAAAAATAGTGTAGAACTCTCCAATTTTTGAATAAACAAGGATATATTTATATATAATTAAACTATAAAAACAATACAAACAAGAGAAAAGGCTAGAGACAGAGCCACACCTTAAACAAATTTAGTCACCCTTTCATCATTCACCACTTCACAACAAGAAGGTGGAGGATGATTAAAAGCCCAAAAAGAGAACATTACACTGTAACAAAAAGTAGCTAAATTATTCGCTATCTCATTAACCTCTTTAAAAGTGAAGTTAAAAACAAGAATCTAATCTCTCTGAATAAACTCTATAACTTCCAAAATAGCTTCCCAAAAAGGATGATCAATAATGGAATCTCTAAGAATCAAATTGAGAGCTTCAATATAGTTACTAGTAGCTTCAACTCGTTTGTTAGCTAAGATTCCAATAGATTTCCAACCCTTTGGTTATCCCTTTAATTTCCACAATAGTAGATAAGGAAGGATCCAAATGGGTTCTAAATCTCATAATTCATTTACTATCAATATCCCTAATTACTCCCCCTCATGCTCTCCCTCTATCTACTAGTATAGAAGCATCAATATGAAGTTTAACAAAACCATTAGCAAGAGGAACTTACTTAGTTGAAATATTCCTTCTACTAAGATTGAGAGAATAAGAGTTAAGCAACATCAAATTCATAGCAACTCTAAAAACATTATTCAAAGAAGACATGTTACCGACAACATCTTTAGAGTCAAAGAGCCTATTACATCTAATAATCCAAATATTGCAACAAATGTTTCTAAAGAGGATGTTCTAAGGGACATTCCTATTATTTTGATTACCTATTTCATTTTTCAAGTTCCATCTCAGCCAGTCACAGCCATTAAGGGAAAAGAATTGCTCCTACTTATCTCACTGAATTGCTTCTTTCCATCTATCTTAAGTTAAATTATAGTCTGTAATGGCGTACATAATGTTTTCTTCCTCTAAGCATCTTAACGGGCAAGCACTTGAGCTTTATAAACCATGTTTTGCTCTAGAGTCCAGCTGTATGAACTATACTATGAGCCAAAGGCTAAAGAAAGGATTTGATCTTCTCTGATGTGGGACAACTTCAAATGCTTTTCTAAATGTCATCATTCTCCTCGATGGTACCTGTAAATATGAAATTACATGTAGATTTAACTAAAAAATATCATTTGTAGAAGGTAGCCAAGTGTATTTATCCTCTCCTCTTACCTCACTAGGGACTTGAGTGCGAGTTATTAGGTTAATCACAGGCTTAGGGAACCAAGGTCGCATCCTCTCAATATCCTACGTTCCACTATCATGAATGTAATCTACCATAACCTCCTTTTCATCATATATACCCCTCTTTTCCATTCTTAATTAATTCAACTGTTGCTCGAGTAACACCCATTTTTTTCTCCAGAAAAAAGTATTCTTACTACTAATGTAACACTTGTCTCGAGTGTTATTCAAAAATCACACAATTCAAATAAACTAAGTGTAGTTAATGAGTCGATACTAAAGCCAACTTAGGAAACAAATCATTTAAATCATTAAACAGACACCCTATCACAAAATAAATATTTAAAATCTTTAAAAAAATTTATAGATTTTACCTATAGCACATGGAAGCAAGATAAGTGAAAACGGGATAAAAAGATGCTGTCATAACAGCATTAAATTGTCACAAATTGCTGTCATAACAGCTCTCCTGGGCCAACTTTCGGGAGGCATCGTTCTATAGTCTAGTCTTCAATCAAAGTAATTTTAAAGCTCAGACGTCACATTCAAAGGGCACTACAAGTGTATCAAATTTTAAAAAGATCTAATGGTCGGATTAAAAATTGAACACGTTATAAGTTTGGTCATTTTTGCTGTGATGACAGCTTTTTAGCTGTCATGACAGCACCTCCAGACTAACTTTCAGGGTGTACTATTTCATCATCCAACCTTCGATCAGAGCAATTCTAGAGCCCATAAGTCACATTCAAAGGGTACTACAAGTGTACCAAATTTCAAAAAGATCCAACGGTTAGATCAAAATTTGTGCATGTCCGAACATCAACACTGTTGCTGTCATGACAGCACCTCCAGACCAAATTTTAGAGTGCGTCGTTTCTCCTTTTGGTGTACAATTGATGTGATTTCAAAACCTACACGAAGCTTATAAAAAGTTTTACTTGTGATCCAAATTTTAAAGAAATCCAACGGTCGAATTGAGATTTGAACACTTGGATGTATAAGTGCAGTCTTTTTAGTAAAAATCATTTTCAAAATTATTCAAATCTCATCCTAATAGTCATAAACTTGTGAAAATACTTTGGACACGTTAAATAGAACTAGGAGTACCTAATAGAATATTTAAATAATGAAAAAATTCCTTATATCAAAATTTAACCACCTCAGCGCCATTTCCCAAAATAGTCTTTATATCTCCAAAATTTACAAATCACACAAGAGTAGTCAAAAACTATTTCAAATATTATATACACATATGAATACAAACGCTAAATATTTTTACTTGGCTCAGAGATCTCCGTAGGGCCCATGTATCCACTCTCTCTATCAAGGTGTATGTTTGCCCGTAGCACACTATTTACAATGCAATCACTTTGCATTTACTTGTAGAATCACATATATACGAAAATAAATATTTGATTGTAGTGGAAACTTAGTCTACTAAATAAATCCATTAAAATCACACACCATAATCAAGTTTCATAGCCACAAGTCTACAAGCAAATAAAAATTCATACACAAACCATACAATATACAAATACACACGTATATACATAATCACATCTTATTGGCATCCTAATCCTAAATACATTACAATAGTTTTGCTCAAAATAAAGGGATTGTAGTTCTTTACAATCCACAAACAACCCTTAGCTCTGCTTTTTTCCTATCCACTACTGGTTCCTTCACTTGGACATAAAAATATTAAAAAGAAAAGGGT